ACTTGTATAGCCCTTGTCTTGACAGTCGAGGAACAGATTATTTTTTTTTTCTTCTTCTTAACACCATTGGTTGAACTGTTTGCTTAACATAGAATGAATCATATGTGAGGTCAATTGAAAATAGATCCCAATAAAAAATAAGAGTGGGAAAAGGAGAGGGAGGAAGAAGTTTGTAACTGTAAAGCTGTATAGTTCTGCATACATTCCTACAGACTTCACTTCTAAGGGTACAGCTAAAAATTGCCATGGGACTCCAAATCCCATTTAGCTGGGTGTTAATAATAACACATTAAGTGTTAAAGTGATCATATTAAATGTTAAATTGATCATATAAAGTGTTAAAAGGATCATATAAATAAGATCAAGTGTCTGGTAATAAAAATGGATAGAATTAAAAAGGAGAGAATGTTTCAACCTGAGAAGCAGCCCACACAGCAGACTCATAGAATGACAATTGCTCTAAATAACACACTGACTTCAGAATTAGCCCTCAAGTCTTCCTGGTCTGGCTGAAAAGCTTGTGAGAGCACTTCAGGCATGGAAAGCCAAGACTGTTTGAAAAAAAAAATGTCCTACATGAAGGATCTCTATGAGTGAGACCTCCGTGTAAAAAGAAGGGCCACCAAAGAAGGAGATACTTTTCTCTGAAGGGAGGAGAGAACTTTCACTTATCTCATGGCCTTGTCTAAATACTTATGTAGATTGTGTATAGAGGACAGTTGCAATTACTGTAATAATGAAGTTCCCTGCCTTAATCCTTCCACTAAAAAGGGTAACTTGGAGTAACCTGAGGTAAGTCAATCAGTTCTGTTTCTTTTGTTCTTCCTACCTGCCCTTACCTTGCAAGAAGGTAGCTTTGCAACAATCAATCTGCTTTTGTTCTGCTATTCTCAGCCCTGGTCTGTCTGTAAAACCAACTCTTTTACTCAGCCCACTGGAACCTTTAATCTCTTTTATAGAATGAAGTCTTGCCATAATGCTACTATCAAAAATAAAAGCCAATTATGATCATTACAGTAAAAAATACTCATTGGAAGACCAATATTTTTATCATATAAATGATCAAAGACTTTTTGAAAAGAGATAAATATCTATTAAAATATTATTACTTATGGTATCAAAAATTGACATAAGCGAAAATACTTCACACAGTGTTGCTACTTGGTACACCCAAATTCCATATCATAGTACCTGGTTCGAGTTCCAGCTCCTCCTGTCCTCCCCTCCCCTCTCCTCCCCTCCCCTCCCCTCCCCTCTCCTCTCCTCCCCTCTCCTCTCCTCTTCAGATTAATTTATTTGGAAGACACGTTTACAGAGAGAGGTAGAGACAGATAGACGTCTTCCATCTGCTGGTTCACTCCCCAAATAGCAACAATAGCTGGAGCTGATCTGATCTGAAGCTAGAAGCCAGGAGCTTCTTCCTGATCTTCCACATGGGTGGAGGGGCTCAAGGATTTGGGCCATCCTCCACTGCTTTTCCAGGTGCATAAATAGTAGTTTTAAGTACATTGAATTAGACTGATAATAAGCAATTTTTAAAATTATTCAGTACTTGACAAATATAAATGGTGACAAATATTTTCTATCAAAAGAAAGACTGTGAAACAGCTAAACATTGAATGAAAACCTGCCATCAATACTTCTAATATTCATTTGCTACAAGGGGCATTGGATTTCCCTGTAATGCAAGAACAGCCCAAGGGGTGCTATATTTAAAACTACATTGGCATTTCTATTAAAATTCCAGCTTTTCAAAGGTTTATGCCAAAGTCATAAAAAAAGTTTACTTGATAGAAGGGCCGAATTGAAAGTCTCTGTAGAGTTTGTTTTCTTCTCTTTTCATATAAAATCAGCCTACCTGTTTTTTTTTTTTTTTTTTCGAGTAATCCAAACACTTTAGCAGAACATGAGTCTTGGATAACTATTAAGCTGTTCAGGTATACCAGCACTCTACAGATCTGAGAAAATTGTGAGCCTGTCATATAGTCAGAAGGCTTTTCTACTTCAGATTTTGTTCTGAGAAATCTAAAAAGCTTTTTGTTAATAGTAAAGAACTTCAAATCCACAGTATTTCAAGTCACTGTGCCAACAGTCTATATTGAATAGAGAAATGAGATGCTAGGTTCTCCTTATTCCTGAGGAAACTCTTACTTATAGTTTATGTTTAAAAGGGTGACACCAGCCTATTGGCTATCACAACAGAGGCATGCAAGTTTTAAAATACTGTCTTTGTAATTATCTCTCATTCAATTAAATGTGGCTTTAGAACTCCTTGATTAGAATCAGGTGATTACTGTAGGAGAAAAAGAGGAGGAGTACTGAACATAGCTCTGTCCTCAAGGGAATGACAATCTTTCCAGGAGATAAGATAATCCTTGAGAGTGTGCTTCAAATATGTATTCATAATTACTATGAAACATCCACTAAGAACATAGATGAAGAAATCTTTTACTATTGGATACAATTTAACTAGTTATTGCCTCACTTTTGAGGACTTTACAACTGAACATGATGTAACTCCATGTGTAAAGAAATTTGTAAAGATTTATTGATCAAACTGAACCTCAGATTTCTTAAAGTGAAAATCAGATATGATCCTTGTTTTTCAAACTGAAAGAGCACTGTTACACTTCCTTTTGTGGCCATGAAATCAATTAAATAAGTTACAATGAAATATTATTTTAAGAAACAGAATGGTAAAGAATAGATACAATAGAAAATATAAATGCACATCATATAAATAAGATTATTTCATGAAATGTGTTTAGGATGTGTATGAGATGAAAAGTATAGTTCTTTTGTGGGTTATAAAAGTAAAGTTTACATTGCATTAGTGTTACTCTATTTACTACGGTTTGTAGTTCTGAAGGTGACTCATATTAGGCTACAACACCACAATATTACATCAAACATTAATCCCTACTGAACTTAAACCTTCATCAGTCTAAGCAAGACATCCAACCATCCTAAAATATCTGTTCTTCCAATCTGTTATTTTAGAGAGTTTGAAGCTTGGTGATATCTTACATGTGTCATGACTGCTCCAGTATAATTTTTTTCTACTCAGGCATTCTTTTATCAGGCACTGAGCCAAGTCTTTTCTGAAGCTTATTATCAGTTTTTGATGTCTACAAGTGATATATTTCATGCACAGTATTGTGTTGACCCTGAAGCACCAAGACTCATTCCTAGAGTCTCACAGTACAACATAAGAGTCAAATTATTTCAGCTTCTGGCTTGAACCAATTTATTTCACCAGACATCATATCTAGTCCACCTGGCTAGAAGAACAACTGATGCACTGATGCTGTCCCTTCATCTCCCTCCTGTTACATCCTGCAGTATCCCTGCATGTACTTAAGGCTAAAAGATAATGGTCCTTTATTTGGATCATTTGCCTATTTCCTCTTGACCCCTTAAAACTCCAGTCTTCCTGATTCTGCCAATTAAGGAATCTGGGGGTCAACACATTATATTTCCCTAGCATCCTTTGACAACAGCATTCGATGGGTTCTTATCATTAGGATACTGAACAGGAAATCACAAAGTGGGAAGAAGAAAGACATTTTCTGTTTCTGGTTCATTGTAATTTAGTATTTAAAATTGCTATAGAGAAGAAAGCATTTGGTCTGGCAATTAAAATGTCTCGTACCAGAGTACTGAGTTCAACACCCAGCTTCAGCCCTGACTTCAGCTTCCTGCTAGTGCAGGTCCTTGGCGAAAGGATGATGAATCAAATAACACTTTTTGCCATCCATATGAGAGATACAGATTGAGTTCCCAGCTCTTAGTTTTTGTCAGGCTGAACCTTGGCTATTCCGGGTATTTGGAGTGTGAACCAGGAGATGGAAGATCTCTCTCCTCTCCTCCTCTCTTCCCAAATACATACATTTTTATTAAAAAGAATAAAGAAGAACAGCAGGGTGAGCAGTTGGCCTTATGGTTATGATACCATGTCTCATACTGGAGTGCATGAATTGGATATTGAGCTCTGACTCCTATTCTCCATCTTCCTGTTAATGCAGACTTTGGGAAGCAGTGGCAGCAGCTCAAGTAATTGAGTTCCTGCCACCCATGTGGGAGAACTGGACTGAGTTCTTAGCTCCCAGATTCAGCTGCTGGCCCAGATAGGTGGATAGGGGCACTCTCAAATAAATACCATAAAAACAAAATAAAATTGTCTTCCCACTTTCCTATCCTTTAAAAAATTTCCAGAGAATAGGAAAAGGGGGTGTGAAAATGGACTTCAGCAATCTGGCAAAGGCACCTTTTTAGTGCCAAACTCGTGCTGGTCAAACTGGAACATATTTTGATGGATCAAATGCTAACTATGACAGAGTTCACAACAGATTCCAAATCAAGAACTGTGTTAGTTGTTGATCTTTAAGAATATCTTTTTCCTTTTCCTTCTATAGACTACAGCACCATTATGTTCCTTTTGCTACTCATGTCCTTTTATCACAGTGAAACCAATATATGTATTACATTTCCCTAAATTATTAGAGTTGAGCATTTTGTGAACTTATTACGAATTAATATAATCCTATACATGTTAAATCCCTGAAAACAACATGAGACGGGAGATCTATCACCAAACACCACACCTCAGAGGAATCTGGATTCCAATTCTGGGCTAGTCTATGAAAAATAACAGGTGAAGTGTTTGCCTTGGGCATCCAAGGTAGTTTTGGTAACGTATCTGTCCCTCATTTGTACTTGAAACTGATTAGTATATCGTTCCACTAAAATTCAGCCTCCCTAACATCCATAGAAGGAATATATTTCCCTGTTCCATGGATGTGGAGCATGGCCATGTGATTTTCCTTTGATCTGTGAGATGTGAGGTAAATAAAAGTATGAAAATTGCAAGCCCAGGTCTAAGGTGGCAGCAGATACTTCCATCAAATGCGTTTGTGGAGCTCCTGACTGCTACCAAAAGGAAACCATGCTCCTTGATTTCTGCCTCTCTGGACTAGGCCTCAATATAAACATGCGTCAGCCAAAAACACTTGAATACACATGGGGAACTGTAGCATGCAGCTTAGTCACCTCAGCAAACCAGAGGCCTGTGTGAATGAGAATAAAAGGCATCAGTTATCATTGAGGGCTTGAATTGGTTGACATGAAAGCTACTAATGCTATAGTAGACACCCCTACCTTGTTGATGTCTCTTACATAATTGCTGACATAGATAATCCCTGCAATCAAAATCAGTGCAACCCTTGGACCTGAACTTTTGATCTGTTGTGGCCTGCTACACAACATCTGGTGATTTCATTTAGAGCCTTGAGAAGATGAAAAGATATGATCACCTTTTTAGGACTTACATAACACAAAAAGTAAGTAGTGGGTTTACCCAACACTTTCAAGAAATACTATTTCTCCCAAAATATCATAGTATGCTTAAACTGGAAATTAATTCTCAATGACTTATTCCTTGATTTGCTCATTCCTTCATCACTGGTTTGTTGCAAGAGTTTTTTTGTTTTGTTTTGTTTTGTTTTTTGTTTTTTGACAGGCAGAGTTAGACAGAGAGAGAGAAAGAGAGAAAGGTCTTCCTTCTGTTGGTTCACCCCACAAATGGCTGCTACAGCTGGCGCGCTGTGCTGATCCAAAGCCAGGAGCCAGGTGCTTCCTCCTAGTCTCCTATGGGGGTGCAGGGCCCAAGCACTTGGGCCATCCTCCACTGCACTCCCAGGCCACAGCAGAGAGCTGGCCTGGAAGAGGAGCAACTGGGACAGAATCTGGTGCCCCAAGAAGGACTAGAACGCCGGGGTGCCGGCGCCGCACGTGGAGGATTAGCATAGTGAGCCTCAGTGCCAGCCTAATCTGTGGTTCTAATCACTCAGGTTTGTGTCTCATCACCAATAAATGTTGCAGATTTTTCTTTTTGCCAAATTTTTGAAATGTTATGGATCTTTTAGATTACTATTTTGTTCATCTGTTGGACTCTTTATCTGTGTACATGACGAATTAGGAGCAGAGACACGAAAGAATGTGTAAAGCAGTAGTTTATTGAAAGAATTAGTGAAACCTCCCAGTAGCCAGGGTTGCAGATTGTCTAGGAGATTTATATGCTGTAGAATGGGAAGTTCTCAGGATTGGTCTGGGAGAGGCACTGAGAAGTGAGTTTTGATGGGTTAATTGGGCTAAGTCAAGTCACCAATCATAGATGCCAGTTGTTTGATTTCTCTCAGGCCCTTTGAGACTCATCTTGAGATGAATCGCACCCTGGTCCCTACCTACCTAGTCATGAGTGTATTTATAAGTATTAGGCTTGGGGGATGTAGCAGTAAACTACTGCTATTCTCTTATTGTCTTCTATTGAAGAAATTAAGGATGTGTCATCTCAAAATACAACAATTGGTATACTGACATAACTTGAGGAACTGTGATTTCACAAAGCACAGTTACCTGTGAAAATGGATTGCATGCAGCAAGCCATAAGATTCTTTTTGGAGGAATGTCCTTCACATACCAAGGCTGATAAATAGCTGTGATCAGCAGAGAGTGGTAACTGGGGTTGCAATGAAGATAAAACATAAACTCTTTGAAGAAACCCTTATCTTCCACTAGCTTTTACATCTTCCCCCATAAATCTCTTAGTAACATACCTAGAATTTAGTAATCTAGTCCAGGGATTCTGCCATTTTCACAAAAGTGTATGAGTCTCTATATACGCTGTAAGAAAGTATCATACTTTGGTCATTTCTTTGCATATCACACTCTTGTGAGGATGTCCATGTGCAAATAAATTTAATAAAGCCTATATGCTTCTCTTTTATTAATCATTTCTTGCATTAAGCTATATCCTACCAGAGTTTACATAAGAACTATGGAGGGTAAAGAGGATCTGTTTGTCCCATACATGATTCTGAAGGTGAACATAGATCCCAAAATATAAACAAGTAAATGCTCAATAGACTGTTCTAGATAGAATGATCATTAAAGGTCTTTGTTCTTCTGACATAGTTATAGTTAACATTAGTAGACTTTATTGGGTGTTATTGCTAAAATTTTTGTATAACTATTATTTTGTATGTAAAATTAATTCATAAAATATTATTATTATTCAACAGTAATTTATTAAATGTGGTCCTGTGCCTTGCAGAATACATAATAGCAATGAGTAAATAAAAAACTAAATAAATTTTGGTATTTATTATAAAGCTATGGAAGGGTATCTTTCTAAATCCAACAACAATAACAGCAAGCAGACATGTCAAATTATTTTGAACAAGAAATTAGAAAATTATCCAAATACCTAATTTATCAATTTATATTCTTCCTCAAGTTGCATTCTCTCAGCTCTTTATTTTGCTTGGTGAATATTTGATTTATTCACATCCTTGCAAAATGACTTTCTCTCACTGAATATGGCCAACTCAGCCTGAAGTCTGTAGATGCTACACAAAGATAATTGGTAACATTCACTAATTCCAAATTCTTAGGAAAAGGAATCAGTAACCTTGCCCAGGCTCAGAAATTCTTAGGTCAGTACCACTAAGAGAAGCATCACCTGGGAATATGTTGATGATTTAAATTCTCAGGCCAAACCCTATACCAACTGAATTAGAACTTGTAGGTGGAAATATGAAATCAGAATCTTTCTCTTTATTATAAAGTTTATAGATAAAATTTTTAGAATATAATGACATCCCCTTCCTTCCTTCCCCTTCTCCCTCCTCTTCTCATAGTCTCTCCCTCTCCTTTTATCTTTTTTTTTGTTATTGAGATAACATATTTTCAATTTATATTACAGTAAAAAGTCTTGATGCTTCACCAAATAAGAACTCTGACAAGTAAATAGAAAAAGGACCCTAGTTTAGTGGGAATATGGACAATGCTTATAAACAACAATTGAATGGAAAAATGATCATTCCACCAATTTCAGTAAATTTCAATGTAATCACAGGTCATTAAAACTAGAGTAATATAAAATTCTTAACCTTAAGGAACCTTCCAAGTGATGCTCATGTATGCTAAAGTCTGAGAACCACTGACCTCATTCATGTTTCCAGTGATGAGTAAAATATATTTAGATGGATTTTTAGTTCATTTAGTAACACTTACTTATTTTAAGGCCCAGTAGGTGAGGTGGAGAATAGGTATTGAGGAAACTTTTTAAAACAGAAATAAATAATGCAAGAAAGAAAAAAGTATTAATCTCTTTGATACATTTCCTAAGATCCTTCTCATATATTGTTTTATTACGGAAATTGATTATACATAGATTTCTTTCCATAAAAGAGCATACCTTTTTATTAGTAGCAATTGCTTCTATTAAATTAGAAAGAATATTTTTCATAACTGAGTAAGTCATAAGCTGGAACACACAAGAAACATGTGCTGATTTTTTTAGATGGATCAGATCCAAAGACATAAAAGTCATTTTATTTGTTAGGTACTTCTTAAAAAGAAGAGTGTATGAATTTCTCTTATATTGAGTCTTTGATTTTTAAAATCATATGAATATTATTGTTTGAACAGTTTGATAGCTAAATAACTCTATGGGAATCCCAATACAATATGGTTAATAAATATTGAATAAAGCTTTTTGATGTTCATAAAGTCTTTTCCTGACAGCCTTACAAGCTATGTCAGTATTAAATTGATTAGGCAGCAATGAGGCTTAAAAGCACTGCTTGTTCAGAATATTTTCCAGTAAAATAAAGGTCTTGATATTTGAGCATATCACAGTAAAAGGATGAGAGAAATTTACTCTGAAAAAACAGAATTAAAGAAAATCACCCCTCATCCGAAGCTGTCCTGAGTGCTGAAGAAAGGAAAACTACAAAGTGTGCCCTTTGTCCTTCAAGAGATTACAATCTAAGGACATTTATTTTGCCTTAAGGAAACTGATTTAAGAGACAGAGTGCAGAGCAAAAGTCACACATAAAATTCCTAGGAAGTTAATAAGTGGATGAAACTGAAATGGGAAGACAGGACTCATTTTATATAGGTGGAAATACAAACCTTCGAAGGATAAGAACTGATCTTTTCACCTATGTCAAATACTCCTAACACACAAAATAACGTACTTGATTGCCATTCAAAATCTTTTTTACTGCAGCAATTCACTACCATCACTTCTGTACCTCCCCTTTCAACAATCAACTGCTAAAGGAAATCACAAGAAGTGAAACAAAAACATACAGTATCTCTCAGTAGCCATGAGAGATTTATTCCAGGATCCCTGCAGATACCAAATCTGTGACTATTCAAGTCTTATATATATAATGGTATAGTACTAACATAGAACTTACACAAATATTTTAAATCAACTCTAGATTCCTTATAGTATGTAGTACAATATAAATGCTGGGAAAATAGTTGTTACACTGTACTGTTTAGAGAATAACAACAAGGGAAAATGTACATGTAGAATACAGATGCAATATTTTTTCTTGAATATTTTTCATCTGTGGTTTGTTAACTCCATGGGTGTGGAAACCACGGATATAAAGAACTGACTGTATTTTTCTGGAACTAACAGAGTTGAATGAAAAGCACTGTTGAGAGTACATTTATACAAAAGGCCATATAGACAAAGATTTGTCATATAAGAGACAATGAGGCAAAAACAAGAAGACATTACCCTAATAATGGCATCAGGATACAGAAAGAAGGCAGTGAGGATTAAACGGTGCTTGAAAACGTGAAATGAGTAAGATAATGGAGAGTTTGAAAATATCAAGTTTAAAAAATGCTATTGGGGTGGATATTTAGAGCAGCGGTTAGGCTGTTGCTTGGGAGGCTTGCATCCCATATCTGAGGGTTGGAGTCCCACCTCCACTTCTGATCTAGCTTCCTGCTGAAGTCTAACCTGGGAAAAAGCAGCAGGTGATGGTTCAAGTACCTGATTATCTGCCATCCCTAACAGAGATCTGAATTGAGTCCTTGGCTCCTGGCTTTGTTCTGAGCCCTGGTTGTTTCAGGAAGTGAATGAGCAGGTGGGATATCACTCTATCGATCTCTTTCTCTCTCTCTACCTTTTAAATAAAATTAAGTAAATATGAAATAAAATTAAATAAATATGAAATAATTTAAATAAATACTATGAAATATTTAATATCTACTAGACATTAAAGAGAACTCCTGAATTCATCAACATTGCAATAACATTTCATATCTGTATGTTCCTACTTGACTTTATCACTCTCCTGCTTTTTAATCATCATTTTAAAAGATTTACTTATCTATTTGAATGGCAGAATGAGAGAGAGAGAGAGAAAGAGAGAGAGAGAGAATGAACAGGACATATCTTTGGCTGAGGCTGGCTCTGAACTCTGTCAGGGTATCCCACGTGGGTGACAGGGGCCATCCTCCACTGCCTTCCCAGGAAGCTGAATTGCAGCAGCTGAGTCTCTAATCAGTGCTTCAGTATGGGATGCCAGCATTACAGGCAGCAGCTTAGCTTGCTGCACCACAACATTAGCCCCAGCACCATTCCTTTTCATTGTAAAATCGATTTTACCACATATGCATGTATCAAAATAAAAGGTTGATAAATTTGACATCAAAATTTAAATATTTTGATAAAAGTAGGAAAGACAATCTTGTAAGTTATACTGCAAATCATGAAGCATTATCTATCTATACAATTGTGTGAAAAAGAGGAAAAAAGTGAAAGAAAAAGGAAAAAATCAGCAAAGCCTATGGAAATTAGCTTGTAGAAAATGAAATTCAAATGATCTATACATTTATGAAAATTAATGCTCAGTAATAATCATAGAAGTTTGCGGGTTTTTAAAAATTCATTTATTTATTTGAAAGACAAGGTGAGGACTGGCGCTGTGGTGCAGTGGGTTAACGCCCTGGCCTGAAGCACCAGCATCCCATATGGTTGCCAGTTTGAGACCCGGCTGCTCCACTTCTGATCCAGCTCTCTGCTATGGCCTGAGAAAGCAGTAGAAGATGGTCCAAGTCCTTGGGCTGCGCCCCAACATGGGAGATCCGGAAGAAGCTTCTGGCTCCTGGCTTCCCATTGGCGCAGCTCTGGCCATTGAGGCCAATTGAGGAGTGAACCAGCGGATGGAAGACCTCTCTCTTTCTCTGCCTCTCTCTCTCTCTGTAGCTCTTTCAAATAAATAAAATAAATATTTTTTTAAAAAAATAAAGAAATAAAGGTGAAAGAGAGATGGAGAGAGAAGGAACAGGAAGGAGGAAGGAAGGAGAGAGGGACGAGTGTATGTATATATATATATATATATATAGAGAGAGAGAGAGAGAGAGAGAGGAATATAGATATATGAGAGAATATATATATGTATATATATATATATGTATGTGCATATATATATAAGAGAGAAAGAGTATCTTCCATACTCCCCAAGTGAGTGCAACAGCCGGGTCTGGGCCAGGCCAAAGTCCAGAGCCAGGAACTACATTCTGATGTCCCACATGGGTGGCAGGGGACCAAACACTTTTGAATTTTCCATTGCCCTGCCAGGTATATTAGCAAGTAGTTGTATCAGAAGCAAAGTAGCTGGGACTCGAATAAGCACTCTGATGCCATTGTCACAAGTGGCAGCTTAACCTACCACACCACAACACCAGCCCCAGTATTTTGTTTTTAAAAACAATAGTATATTACTTTACTACCCATAAAACTAGAATATAAATGAAAAATAATACATTATATCAATAATACATTGCCAAATTGTGAAGAAATACTGTTTTCTTTCATTACTAATGAGACAATAAAGCAAGAATCTGATAACAATGTATCTGTTAACACTGAAAAGGTATAAACTATGGATCAGTAATTCTAATTTTAAGAATCTAAGATGGAAAAAGCAAATGCATGTATGCATTTGGAACCGTATTAAGGTGTTCAATGAAGCCTAGCTTGCCCAAAATTGGAAAACTAAAACAGGCAGAAATTACAAAAATGAGAAAACAGTTGAGCCTATTTTGTTCATTTGATGGAATAATGTATGGCAGCTGTAAGGAATAAATTGCACCCAAACTATTTTGCATTGTGAAATGGAAGAAGTACTTCAGTAAAAACGGAAAAATGCAATATAATATTCACGCCATGGTATTTATATATTAACCTAGAAGCATGCACCAAAATTTTTATATATTTTCTGTATACAAACTTGGAAATATAAAGTTATTCCTGTCTTCTGCTAGAAAAATACACACAGAACTCAGTGAAGAAAGGAGAAAGGGAAGGACGGAGATCAAAATCTTTAAATCTAATATTGTCAATATTTTAGAAGACTAATGCATTAATGTATTACTTATGTAATTAAAATTTGAGAAGCAAAGATAAAATAAATTCAAGGAGTCACTATCAGGAAAATAAAGGTTTAAACACACAGTCAGCTTAACTGTAAAGTTTATACACATATCTTCATGAAATGCAAGCCCTGGACTGTTACAACATGGAAGGTTCAAGTAACTGCTCTTCTTTTGAGTCTATGTTACCCTACAATCTAATAGCTCTGGTATCCACCTCCCTTGAAAGAATATACTTAGCTTGACTGAATGAATTCATTTGTTCGCTGAGTTGGATTTCTACAATGTACCAGTCACTGGTCTGCATAATGGGAAAGCAACCATGAACAAAACAGATTGTAATCCTGCCCTAGGGAGCTTAATGTGTAATGCATAAAAAATAGTAGATGCCAGTAATTTCTATTTTTAACATGCAAGATAAGGGTACAAAATCTGAAGGAATTATTGAAAATGAAAGGGAGGCAACAAGGATCATTAGCTTGTTATAGATTTTGAATCACACTAACTTGAGTGGGAAGCAGTGAATTTTAAGCAAAGGGAACTTTTAGGATCCCTCAGGGTGCTGTGTGGAGAATGGAATAATACAGAACAAGGGAGGAAATGATAAGAATTCTTAGTAGGTTACTGTAATAATCCAGGCAGGAGGAGATAATGGTTCGGAGTACTACAGTCACAGGAAGATGATGAAGAACTCTTCAAATTCTAGATGTGCTTTGACTGTGGAGTAAACAAGATTTAATGTAGGCTGATTGTGAGGGTTTATAGAGAAACAGGGAAGTCAGAGGTGAGTCCAAGGTTTCTGGCTTTAATTATAAAGAACCAATGACAATCAAATGAGATGGGTAAGGCTGTGGAAGGAGGTTTAGGTGTATGAGAAGGAGCTGAATTGAACATCTTAAAGCTGAGTTAATTAATTCTTATTAATTCTTTGTATACGACTTCTCTTCTTATGGTTATAATTAGTAATAGAAATTCTGATTAAGCATTGTTTCTGAGTGTGATTGTTGTTTTCTTCTATGTAAGATATCACCATTACCAATGCACAGATATAATCATGAATTCAGAATATAAAGAAGATGATACTTTGGAGTGCCTTGGCAGTCAATCAGCCTATCTGCAACAAGCTATCTTCTGAGGACCTCCATGTTCATTATCTTGACTCTTTCCAACTTCAACACTATGTGGTAGAGGAAACAGGTAACTGAGGCACAATGGGCCTATCCTACCTTTTTATTCAGGAGAGAAAATGAAACAAGCACATAGTGTAAATTTTTAAAACTCCTTATTTTCTTGAAGCCTCAAATAATAGGCTGTGCACACCCTGCCCAGGCAAACAAACAGTTTCACTGGTTTTAATGCTGGTTTCCACCCCAAGTACCCCTTCTTGTCACCCGTTGACTGTGATCTAGCAACCACCAAAGGCATCAATGAAATTGTTTCATGCATCTGCTAGTGAATTCCACCCTCAGCATCAGCAAAAGGACTTATTCAGAAATACCCCCCCCCTTGTGTGTGTGTGTGTGTGTGTGTGTGTGTCACCTTCCCAGATGTTCGCTTGATCTCTCTTCCGAGAGTTCCTCCCCAGGCGTGCCGTGATATGCACCCTGACTCTAGGACTTGTGAGTATAATTGTCATTTTCCTCTGAATGCAATTTCCAGAGCCATGTGGGAATGATCCCTAAAGACTCCCCAAGGGAAGGGCACTGTATGGCAATCAAGAGGTCTATTTGTGATCAACTTTCTGGAAAGCATCAGGTGGCAATGAAAATTTACTTCATTTGTCTGGTCACTAATGCAAAAATGGAAAACAACAACTGGTAAGAAAATAAATTATATGGTAGAAATAATTATGTAAATTTACTTAGTGTCCCAAACATTTACATGCATTTTCCTTTGCATGCTTCCTTATACACAAAACAATGCTGATTGTAGTAATAATTTTACCAAAAATATGAAAGTATAGTTCAAAATAGTAACTTTTGCATTAAGTATCTATAAAAGCTCAGTTACAGCCTCAACTCTGAATTCAGTGAACCTATCACTTCAGGAAGGAGAGTCAATATAGTTATTTTGGAAAATCTACAAAAACAAATCAAATGTGTCCATCTATTTCTTTGATAGTAAAAAACATATAATTTAAATCAAATAGAAACTGTGACTCAGCTGTTGCTTCTCTGTTTCTCCCATGTAAAGCAATGCCCTAGTCATTCTCCATTACTTGTTCCTGCCTATGACTAGTGCTCCTGTGGCCACAGCATGTATTAGAGTAGCCTTTTATATTATGCCTTTGTTTTGTATGGTCTTCCTGTCTCTCCAGAGTATAATATCTTTGAGAGCAAAAGACTAATTAGCCTTCTTCACTGTTGCCCCTTTGGCTCCTAGGAAGTACCTGAGACACAGGTAATTTCTAATATATATTTGTGGAATAAATGAATAAATTAGATGTTTGGAAAGAAGTTTGAACAGAAATACTAGATACTATATAAATGAAATATGTTACTAAGTATGAGAAAAGGATATTAGTCTTACCTATATTTTCAAGGGCACACATTTATTTTGTATCTGTACTGATTTGGGGCAACCCCACTTACCCATGAAGTCCAGTGACATAAACACTTTCAACTGAAAGGAAAAGCAAGGGTGAAGAAAATCAAGTTTGATTTTTATTTTCTGGCTTCTCTTGTTTTCCATCTCAACTTCAGATAGTTTAAGAGAAATTTTAATGTCATATATTCTGTGACATGAAATAATTTGGTGATGGCTTTAAGAAGATTTTTGAGAGTAATTTTTGTATCACACTCACTGAACCTTAAATAACTTTACTGTCTTTTGAATTACTAGGGTTTTATACTTTTATTATAAACCCTTGAAGAGAGAGATTTTTACTGCTTTACAGTTCAGCCTCTTGCTTAAATTTGGAATATATGTTTTAGTTATAAGTGAAATCACAAATATATTTTCTAAATAATTTATTGAAAAGTTGGTATTTCACCCTTTTCTTTAAATTTTTGAATAACCCATATGTAAATAATTATTCATAATTGTATATGACTTTGTTTCTGCAGTATATCCTTGATCTTAAGAAATTCTGCAAAAAAGTCGTGACTAAATATACAACATGTGTACATTAACATTTAGATAAACTAATATTAGTTTATTTTTTTCGGTAATCATTGGATAACTGTATTTCACTTCTGGATGTATATCTAAACATCATCACAGAGCTGATCAAATTTTTAGATTTTTAAACAATGATTCTTCATTTGTTTTCTCTCATTACTCAATCTAATGCAGAAGACCATTAAGGAATAACTCTTAGTTAATCTTTAGAATTTTCCAGGGTCTGGAGCTGTGGCTCAGCTGATTTAAGCCATGGCTAGCAGAGCCAGCGTTGCATATGGGCACTGGTTCTTGCTCCTGTTGCTCCATTTCTGCTCCAGATCCCTGCTGATACACGTGGGAAACCAACAGAGGATAGCCCAAGTCTTTGGGCTTCTGTATCCACATGGGAGACCTGGAAGAAGCTCCTGGCTCCCAGCTTCAGCCTAACCCAACTCTAGTCAGTAATCATTTTACCAAAAATATGACAATATAATTCAAAATAGAGAGAGGAGCAAAAGTTACTATCTCTCTTCCCCTCTCTCTGCAAATCTGCCTTTCAATAAATAAATACTTTTAAAAAGAATTTTCCAAATTTAAACTCATTTCAAGATCATCTCAACTGAGACAAATATTAATACAGTGTTTTCTATAAAGATTTAAGAAAAGATGAATATTTTCTTTCCAGCATATCTCTGAACATGAAAATTATTCAGACAAAACAATATCACTAACAATTAATATTGTTACATACTAACTATGCTTCACTAAGGGCTATTTAATTGTATGCAACTATAGCACTTCATGTTCTAAACTCATTAACTCATTTAATCTCACAAGAACTTCATTAAGTATTTTAAATTTACATTACAATAAAAAGGCTTAATACTTCGCTGAATAAAAAGTTTAACCAGTAAAAAGCAAAAAAGAACTTAGTTCCTTAGTTCAACCTGTATATCCTTTTTGGGGAGAATTGAGATCTTTCTTCTAATCCATGAACACAATATGCTTCTCCATTTGTTTAGGTCTTTGTTAATTTCTTTTAATGAAATTATATAGTTTTCAGAATACAAATACTATACATATTTTGTATTTAAAATATGTTATCACGGCCGGTGCCAGGCTCACTTGGCTAATCCTCCACCTGCAGCGTCAACACCCCAGGTTCTAGTCCCAGTTGGGGTGCCAGATTCTGTCCCAGTTGCTCCTCTTCCCGTCCAGCTCTCTGCTGTGGCCCAGGAAGGCAGTGGAGGATGACCCAAGTGCTTGGGCCCTGCACCCATATGGGAGACCAGGAGGAAGCACCTGACTCCTGGTTTCAGATCGGCACAGCACGCCAGCTGCAACCTGCCAGCCATAGCATCCATTTTGGGGGTGAACCAACAGAAGGAAGACCTTTCTCTCTGTCTCTCTCTTTCACTGTCTAACTCTGCCTTTCCAAAAAAAAAAAATATTAAAAGACCAATGGAACAGAATAGAAAACACAGAAATTAATTAGTTGGTACAAGCAACTAATATTTGACAAATGAGCCAAAATCAAACACTGGAGAAAGAACAGTCTCTTCAACAAAAGCTGCTTGGAAAATTGGACCTATGCATGCCCATTAAACAGACGCCTACTTTACATCATATACAAAAATCAACTCACAGTGCATCAAAGGTCTAAATCTATGACTTGATACCATCAAATTACAGGAGGAAAGCATCAGAGAGACTCTGAGAGACACTGGCAGAAGCAAAGACTTCTTGGAAAAGATCCCAGATGCACAGACAGTAAAAGTAAAAATAGAGAAATGGGATTACATCAAGCTAAAAAGCTACTGAACAGCAAAGGAAATACTTAACAAAGTGAACAGGCAATCAAAGAATGGGAGAAAATAATTGCAAACTCTGCAATTGATATAGGATTAACATCTGAGATCTATAAAGAATTCAAGCACCACAACAGTGAAACAATCCAGTTAATCAGTCAAGCCATATGTCCAACAACCAAGGATTTGATAAAGAAAATGGGGTATAGACACACTGTGGAATGCTACTCAGAAATAAAAAAGAATGAAATCTTGTCTTTCGCAACAAAATGGATACAACTGGAAACCATTGTGCTTAGTGAAATAAGCCCATACCCCATAAAACAAATATCATATGTTTTCTCTGATATGTGGTACTTAATATGGAATGCAAAAAACTAAAGAAATGAAAAAATCATATATGTGAAGTACATGAAATCTGTCTTTTAAGTAAATACAACAAATTCCCAAAAAAAAAAAAAAAAACCCACTAGAACTAAGTTTTACATCTTAGACTAAATTTAACTTAAAATGTGTTATGAATTCAATTATGTTAAGGAATCTCAATACTCAACAATTAAAAATAATAAAAAATACAATTAGAAAATGGACAAAATATATGAAGATAGAATAATTTAGACATGTCAAATAATCACTTGAAAAGATGTTAAACATCATTCTAGTCCTGGTCAGGGCACCGGATTCTGTCCCGGTTGCCCCTCTTCCAGGCCAGCTCTCTGCTGTGGCCCGGGAGTGCAGTGGAGGATGGCCCAGGTGCTTGGGCCCTGCACCCCATGGGAGACCAGGAGAAGACCTGGCTCCTGGCTTCGGATCAGCGTGGTGCACCGGCTGCAGTGCGCCGGCTGCGGCAGCCATTGAAGGGTGAACCAATGGCAAGGGAAGACCTTTCTCTCTGTCTCTCTCTCTCTCAATGTCCACTCTGTCAAAATAAATAAATAAAATAAAATATATATAAAAAAAGAAATTCAAATTAAAACCTAATGTAATTTACTACACATCTATAAAAATGACAAACATAAACCATATGACAAACATAAAATACTGGTGAAGATGCTAAGAAATTGGATCATTGATGATGGATTGGTATGTGAAATATCAACAGTTATGCTGGAAAAGAGTTTGGCAGTTTCCAAAAACAAAACAAAACAAAACAAAAAAAAACAAACAAACTTGATTCCAAATGCCATGAAACCTCGCAGCTGTGCTCCTAGATGTGTATCTCAGCAAAATAAAGACTAACATAAAAACTTCACATGACTAATTTTGGAGCATTATAATTAATGAGCGAAAAGCTGAATATACTATAGGTTTCTTTTTTTAAAAAATATTTATTCATTTATTTGAAAGTCAGAGCTACACAGAGAGAGGAGAGGCAGAGAGAGTGAAAGAGAGAGAGAGAGAAAGGATGTCCATTCACTGGTTCACTCCTCAATTTGGCCACAATGGTCAGAGCTGCACCGATCTGAAGCCAGGAGCCAAGAGCTTCTTCTGGGTCTCCCATGCCAGTGTATGGGCCCAAGGACTTGGGCCGTCTTCCACTGCATTGCCAGGCCACAGGAGAGAACTGGATTGGAAGTGGAGCAGCCAGGACTCGAACCAGTGCCCATATGGGATGCCGGCACTGCAGGCTTTAGCTTTACCCATTATGCAACAGCACCAGTCCCCTATATGTCTTTCAATGACTGAATAGTTCAATACATGATGAGATTCTTATCCTGTCATTCACTGATAAGATGAACAAACTAGTGATAAACACAACAACCTGGAAAAACCTCCAGAGAAGTAACCTGTGTGAACAAAACAACTTTCAAATGATTACAAACTGTATGATTTTATTTACATAATATTCTTCAGAGGACAAGAGGTCAGAAATGGCCATCAGATTTATGGTTTCCAGGAATTTAGCA